AAATAATTGAAGACAGAAACATTACACTTTCTCTTACCAAAGTTACTGCACACTCTGACGACCCACATAATAACAAAATTGATCAATTAGCTAAATCTTCCTTATATTCTGTTCCTCTTTCCTTCACCCTTGATCACATTCCATACTTCCAATACATTCCTTTATTTGAAAACATGCCTATTAATACAGCTTTCCACCCTCTAATTAAAGACTTCTCACAAACAAAACACTTCATTGATTTTTATTCTTTGAAAAGAAACAAAAAATACACAAACTTGGAAATCAATTATCATTTAACCTTCCAATTCACCAAACTAGGTTCTCCTACGATAACCTCTTTCAAAGAGTCAAAAACACATTGTAGATGACTAAAGTTTTTATCAGAACAATTGCCCACATTAGAATTTCTAAAAGCAGTTTAATCCTCTTTATATGACAATTCTTGGAAATATTGTAGATGTAATATATCAAACGAAAATTTTAATCAATGAACAGATTGAAATAAAAAAGTCACATAAATTTTCTTATATTTGGAACAAAATGATAAATAAAAAAATTTTTTTTATCATATTTGATTATGCCCTATAGTCATACCATTGATGGAAAATATTATTATTAACACATTATCTCATCTAAAAACACAACTTTTCATTCATATTTCTTGTTCTGGTTTCCCTCCTGAAGTCTCAGCTCTTCTTCTTCCTTCCCACTCTTTCTAGGCATTAAAGGCTGACCCTTACAACATCACTATTATAGATTTCATCAAAGGCATTGTTCCTACTTCTTTTCTAAAACTTATTGATTCTTTTACGAACTCTTTTACCATTACATCTACCATTCTCTCCTCCTTCTATGATTTTCTTTTTGATCAAACTTATGACATTGTGTGGAAATCAAGATGTGAATTAACAGTTGCTAAAGAACACTTTAAAAACATTTCCCAATATAGTAAGAAAAAAGGAGTGTACGTTTCCTTCAACCACTTTTCTAGAAACAATTTTACTAATATCCCATTTTCTTCTAATTATCCTCAACGTGATCATTTATCTTTAATTAAAAACTCTTACATACATGGTCGTCGTTGGCCACTCTTTCTTACGCAGTAATAACTATTTGTCATACGACGTTTTCTTTCTATTAGTTAGGTAGCAATGGTAATTCTACTAGTGATTATTACTGGAGCCTAATGGGACGACCGGTTGGTCTGATAAAATTTGGGTTTACTTTTTATTTTATTAGGCAGCTTTTTTTATTTTTCTACTTATGTATCTCTTTAGAGAATTTTCATGTATTGTTTACTGAAATTGATTATACTTAATAAATAAAAGCATTACTGCGTCTTTAAAAAAAAAAAAAAAAAAAAAAAAAAGATGATTTGATTTGGATGATTTTGAGCTTGTTTGTAAGATCAGCACTTACCGAATCATCATGTTAAATATGGTAGGAACCGGACCAGTGGATGTTGAGTTATTCGCGTTTAAAGTTCGTCACGGCAAATCGTAAATTTATTTGCTTTTTTTCTTTTTTTTATTCCCCCTCCGGTTTGTGTATTTTTTTTTTATCTAAATAATTATTTTTTTTAATTTCGAAATTTTTTTTATATATATATATATTTTTTTTAATTCCCCTGCCTTTTTTTTTAATTTTTTTTTTTTAATCACTCCCAGCCTTTTTACTTTTAATTTCCCCTCTAGCCTTAATTTTGTTTTTTATATTTTTTTTTAATTTTTTTAAATTTCCCCACCCCCGTTATTTTTTTTTATTATTTTTTTTGATTATTTTTTTAAATTCCCCTTCCCGGTATTTTTTTATTTTTTTTCTTCATTTTTTATCGTTTGTTTTTCAGTTTTTTTATTTTTTTTAAAAAATTTTTAATTTTTTATTCTTTCACCCACACTTCGAAATTTTTTTGCCCCTACCCCGCGTTCTTTATTTTTTTTTTAATTTTCTACTTTTTTTATTACATTGCTGAAACCCTCGATTTCATGACTTTAATGCCATTATCATGTGACTATCACGTGACTACATAGTTGAATGGTAGTAGCGTTTTTATTTTTCCACCTTCAATTTACTACCTCATTACTTTATATCGGCTATATAGAAACGATAAAGATTTTTAATGTTAGAATATTTTAGTTTAAATAATAAAATAGTCGTTATACAGAAATTATTAAAGAATTTAATTGTTTTATAAAAAGTATAATTTCCATTTTCTACCTCGATACTTTACATTGGCTATATAGATGCGATAAATAATCTTTTTTTTAAGAACATTATTTTTATGTATTTTTCAAATTGATAAAAAATGCTATAATTCATAATCTTAAAACTTTGATTATATAATTAATTTGAAATTAAAGCAAATTTAAAATTGAAAAAATTGTCTTAATAAAATTCCATTTCCAAATATCGTTGTTTCCATTTCTTCTGATATCATAGTATCTGAAATCCATTATAATTCTGAGTCTAAATACATATTTTGTGTAATAGAATTACATGTTTCTGCTAAAATAATAGAATAATCGTAAAATAATAATCCCTATTATTTGAAGAATTGCATAGTCATCCTTAATATTTAAGAATTGCGGCATAATAAGAATCCCTATTGTTTAAGAAATATAAATTTTCGTAATAAAAATGCAGTATTCATAACCCATTATTTGAAATAGCTTATTGTTCGAAAACAATACATTGTTTAATTGCCTATTATATTAAAATTTGCTAGATCAAAATAACTTTATTTGAAAATAAATTTCAACGCTTTAAAAAAAATTAAAACTTTAATATTTCACACAGAATAAATAAAGCATAAACACTATTACAGAATAAAGATACTATACTTTTATAATCTTTCTAAAGAAAAATATTTGATGCAATATTCTTGCCAGATCTACTTGGAACTTTACAACTGATCATGAGATAGTCAAGTTTCTTGACAGCTTGAATATCGTAGTTATTGTGACATATCTTGAACACTTCTTTTACAAATGTTTGAGTCTATCCATCTTTCCACATCTCTTGAGCTTATCCATATTAACACTTATCAAATATCTTTTTAATGCTTTCTTAGTGACGACGTCCCTATGAAAAATTTTTTGGGAAAGCATTCCAGTTTTTGTCTGGTTTCTGTTTTCCGAAAATATTCTGATTTTATTATTCTGATTCTGATCCGAAAAGTGATCATTTTTTGGAATGATACTTGCATGAAGTTATCCGAAAGTGCTCAAGTAAATTTTACGAATATAAATAGAATATTATCGGATAGTTTACAATAGATATTATCCGGAAGTACACAGTAAATTTTATGAATGTAAATAGAGTATTATCAGATAGTTTACAATAGATATTATCCGGAAGTGCACAGTAAATTTTATGAATGAAAACGGAGTATTATCAGATAGTTTACAATAGATATTATCCGGAAATGCCCAAATTAGATTCAGTAAATTTTATGAATGTAAACGGGATATTATCAAGTACTTTAATTATATTTTCGGAATATTATCTGAAAGAGCTCGTAAATGTAGTACAGTATTAATTGTGATTTATCATCTAAGTAAGTTTTCATATGCACATTATTTGTGACACATGACGCAGTGAATTTACTGTGTGCTGTTTATGTGATACAATGGCATAAGTCTTTCATACTAATTTTGAATAATAGGTTTCGCACGGTAACCTATTTTTTAGCTTTCTTGCGGGTGTTGCAAGTAGTAATTTAATTATTTGTTGTTTTAGTTACTTTTTTGGAATTTGCTCTTGTTGTTTTAGTTGTTTTTTTTTGGTTTCCTATATTTATTGACTAAATAAAGTATTATATATGAGTTTCATAAATATTAACAAATGCCAATCATTAAATTTACCAGAATTTTTCATGTTTTCTTCTTGTAATTGTGAAGCATTAAGAGCCACGTTTAAATTAGTAGTTTCAGACTCTTGACTTTTCATAGCTGAAGCTAATTGTAAATTAGCGTCAATAGTCAACAGTTCGTTGGAAATTGGCACGGGTGGAAGATCAGCATCAGTACTTGACGCAGGTGGAATTGTCTTCATTTTCTTGAATTTCAGATTAGGTGTTATAATGTTTTTGCGTTTTGGAGGCAAATCAATACTTTTTATTTGGGCTTCTTTAATTTTTTTATTTCGTTCAGTCTCAGCTAATATTTGTTAAAAATATTAATAATAAAAATAATATAGTATATATCCGTATAATATTAAATTTAAAGTAATATATACCCCAATTTCCAACAATATCCTCAGTTATTTTTTGCAAAACAAAGTCTCCAACTGAAACAGGAAAGGTTGGAAAGTCACTTTTAAACTAAAAGTAATTAAAAGTTAATTAGTAAGTTTAATATAAAAATAT